GGCTGTTCCCGAGGTCACCGCGAGGCTACGCGGTCTGTCGAACAGTGTGAATCCAATGTCATGCAAACTCAACTTTTTTGTATGTTACCAGGTAAGGCCCACTGACCTATGCAACTCGTTTTCATCAGCGACCTGGCCACAAATGATAGCTCAACGAAGTGGCTTATCGTGTGGCAATTCACTGCAGCCAAACACTCTAAACGGCGTGTTGTTGTTGTTTTTTAATGTGGAGGGGGAAAACCGGAGGACCCGGAGAATAATCCACGGGGAGAGAGGACATGCAAACTCCAAATACACAGTAGGCGTCAGGGTTGGGATCGAACACACGACCTCATGTATACTTGGCGAGTTAGTTAACATCTCCTAGCCACCGTGGCGCCCATGTACGGGATGCGATTGGCGAGACAAAACTGTTGCGAGACTGACAGAAAAAAGAATTAGGAACGAAAATGACCAATTGGACATTCGTTCAGGGCACGACAAGCGCTCCCTCCTCGAATTGTGCAATTATTTGAATGAATCAGAAAACCTATATTATTGCATCGTTTGGTTTAATACGTTTATGAATGTGTTGTCGTGAACAAGAATCTGTGGTTGCATACATTTGATGATTGTCACCCGCGTTTGTTTGTTTTTTTATAACGTTATTGTTTTAAATCGAGAAAACAACACGATTGTGATTTAAGCACTCGTAATAACCGTACTCGATAACTTAAGGAAGATTCGATTGAGTGGAATGTTTTACGAATGTGGCAATGTCTGCTGACAGAAAAACAATGTACGTGGCTGGAATATGCAAGTAAAACTGCCGATATTAAAATACACGTAACTTGGCAATGTTATTATTTGTGGGAAAAAGTTTGTTATGGAATTGAGTAGCTAAGGCGTTAACATCACACTTACAGTTTAAAGCTCCTTCACAGCGGTGGCACTATCGTTATCACAAAGCCCTGGATATACAAATGCACTGCGAAATGTAACTTCCAGCCATGCTCAATGAGTCTGGCTGGAACATTACACCAACAGTGATTATAATATGCTGCATATTTAAACTGCACAATGTTATAAATCTTGACTTTCGTGACTGCAGGAATTCATATTCTTTGGGTCTTTCGTTAAAGTCACGTAGATAGGTTCAAAATAAATCTTTAAAAACCACAACGTTTCAATCACAACACAAGCGATCGTCTTCAGGTGGAATGAAACCGTTGAAAAAAGGGGTGAAAGCTCCCAAAGGCAAGCTGTTTTGAAAGTTTTAAGATGGGCGTAGCCCAAGTGTCAACTTGCAGTGCATCAACGAAGTGGGCGGGGCACAAGGGCCCTGGGGCCAGCACAAGTGGAGATGGTTATGTTAATGTGGGAAATTAACAACTATCTGTACTTGTAGTTGCACGCCCAACTTCAAGCGGAGATGGTTATGTTAATGAATCAAGAGAAGGGTAAGCGCAGGAGCCCTGGAGAAATTAGTAAAATAAAATAACAACTAACATCGGAAGGTGACAAGATGGAAACATCACAGCCAGTTATGACTTAAACTGGTTGATGACGTCATTCCAATGATTGCTGAGTTTGTACCCATCCTCTCGGTTGAAATTGTGTCTGTGTCTATATATATCGATGGCTTCATGAACGAATCTTTGTTGATAGCTAGCCAGTGGGCTTGCAAAGTACCTTCGTCTTAGAGAAATACATTTCTTGTGAGCCAACCGCATTAAGACAATGTCAGCCACGGCTGAAGTGTTGGTCCTCCCGTGTTTCAGATCTGCCTTATGCTCACGAACACGATCAGAGACATGTTGCTTAGTTTCCCCAATGTAACTACTGCCACAGACACAGCTTAGTTTGTAGAAGCCGGGGTATTGCATGTCAGGGATCTTATCCTTCACAGATAGGATCAGATCACGAATTTTATGCACTGTGTTAAATCGAACCTGGATCTTGTGTTTGCTCATGATTTTGGAAATATTTTTGGTGACCCCTGCTATGTATGGCAAGGTGATGGTTTTGATTGGGTCCTCAGATGGTTCTTTCCCAACGGTTTGAGTGATAGCTTTATGGATTGTGTAGTCAGATTATCCATTCGTCTTGAGAGCTTGGTGCACGTGTTTCAGTTCACGGGCTAAGTGATGGTGGTTGGAGATACATCGAGCTCTATGGTCTAGAGTTTTGATGAGGGAATTCTTCTGGGATGGATGGTGGTGGGAGTCTGGTTTTAGGTAGGCATCCGTATGAGTTGGTTTCCTGTAGACAGAGTGGCCCATTGAACCATCTGGTCTTTTTCAATTCGAACATCCAAGAATGGTAGCTTGCCATCCTTTTCCACCTCCATGGTGATTTTTATGGCTGGGTGTATGGAATTTATGTGATTGAGGAATTGGTTCAGAGCCGGTCGGCCATGTGGCCAGATGGCAAACGTGTCATCTACGTACCTCTTCCACAAGGACGGGTGTAAAGTGGATGCCTGAATGGCGTCTGTCTCAAATTTTTCCATGAAAGCATTGGCTACAACCGGAGATAAGGGAGAACCCACTGGGGTGCCTTCAACTTGTTTGTAGAATGTTCCACTCCAGGTGAAGTATGTATTGGTGAGGCAGTGTCTCACCAGGGCTGGTACATCAGCATTCAATCCTTGTTGGACCAAATCTTCAATGATTGCAATGGTTTCGGGCACAGGAACTTTGGTGAACAAAGAAACTACATCGAAAGGAACGAGCAGATCACCTGAAGATAGTGAAATGTCCTTAATTAACGATACCAAGTGAGCTGAGTTAATTACAGATGAGGTGGCCTTACCAGTGAATGGTTGCAAGGTCTCAGACAGAAATCGGGCCAGTTTGTAGGTGGGTGAGTCAATGGTGGAGACGATAGGACAAAGGGGTGTACCTTCTTTATGGATTTTTGGTAAACCACACATTCTGGGTGGTCTAGCAGCAGAGGGTTTTTAAAGAAAACTGCTTGGTTTGTTCAATTAATGAAGCCGAATCAGTGATGATACTGTTGGTTTTCGTAACGAGGCTGTTGGTGGGATCTCTTTTAATTTTCGTATAGCTACCATCTTTAAGCAGGTCCTGAATTGTGATTGTATGCGGTTTTGTCGATGAGGACCGTGTCATCGCCATTGTCGGCTGAGAGGATGACTATATCGTCCCTATTTTTTAATTGAGCTAGCTCAAAACGCTCATCCTTACCGATGTTGCTGATTGGTGTCTTAGCATTTTTGAGGATTCCAGTGATTTCTGATCTTGCCACATCTGCAGCGATGTGTCCCAAACCCTTAAGGGCTGGGCAATGATATCATCCACTGGGATGTGTTTAGGGGTGACTGCGAAGTTCAACCCTTTAGCCAGAACCGATTTTAGGCCGCCGGAAATTGGACTATTACTCAGATTAATAACAACCTTGTCAACGTCTAACTTTTTAATATGTGGATCTGTATTCTTCTTGGAAAGGAGGTTGAACTTGGAAAATCAGGTTATTTTGCATTTAGCTGACATTGTAGTGGCTGTCTCGAAGTTTGTTAAAGGATCTTATAGTTGTGTGGAACCCCTCCCCGGAGAGGCAGTTAAATCTTGACTTAAAGCTTTCGTGACTACAGGAATTCATATTCTTTGGGTATTTTGGTAAAGTCACGTAGATAGGTGCAACATTAATAACGACACAACCATCTCCACTTGTGCTGACCCCAGAGCCCTTGTGCACCACCCACTTCGTTGAGTGCACTGCAAGTTGACACTTGGGCTATGCCCATCTTAAAACTTTAAAGACAGCTTGCCTTTGGGAGCTTTCCCCCCTTTTTCCACCTGAAGACGATCGCTTGTGTTGTGATCGAAACGTCGTGGTTTTTTTTCTTCATTTTTTTAAATTAATTTTTAACCTATCTACGTGACTTTACCGAAAGACCCAAAGAATATGCACAATGTTACGTCCATAATAGAGGGGGGGGGTTGGGTTAGATCGCATAAATATATAAATGTGTCGTTAAAACCCGCCACCACCCGACACAGCCAACTTGTAAGGGTTGTGACGTGAACAGAACATGGCCAATTCGTCACTAGTACAACACACCGATGTGTTGGAGAGCCAAGCCACAACATTCACAGAGTACGACCTTTTGCCAGTAATTAGAAGTAGCTTCATCAGGCGACAGCCAGATTTGTGGAGAAGTCCACCTGTTTCGTTCCTTATATAGATGCGTAGATGTGGTGGCCACAGTTCTGCGCTCTTGCGTAAAGTGGGGGGGACGACGACAATGTTATGTATTTACACTTTGCAGACAAACATTTGTACTCTATGCTGCCATGCTTTAGATCAATGTTCTACACAGGACCGCTGCCAACGTGATATCTGTTTTCAAGCAAATGTCCCAAGCAGGAATATACACAAATAGAATATTAAACGATTTCTCGGCACTGGCTGGCATCCATAATGGCATGGGCTCATGTGGCATTGAGTCTGCACAGGGCTGCAGTCACTCAGTAGGGATATGTGATCACTCCTTGTGATTGACATAAGCCACTTGCTTCCTGAGCGTATTGGTTGGTCCTGGTTGCTTGCTGCAACTCCGTGCAGTAAGTTGTGTTGTAGGGGCTCTTCATGAGGCCCATAGCCCAGCCTCGTGGGTGCTGACAAATTATGAGCTTAATATGAAGGGAATAGAAGAGGGCCCAAAGGTCCATGACCTAAAATCTGGTCAGGAGAATCATTAATCCATGGTTCAAGTTCATGGCTATGTATAATCCATTGACAAATATTGCCGTGATTAGCACTGCTACAGCCTGTCCTCCTGTGTGCTCTCAGTAGACACATGTGCAGGTGCCTAAACCTAACTCTAGGAATTGTATGCATAATAACACTGCTAAAGAAAATGCAAGGCAAAGAGTTCACTATTGCTTTTTCACAGTGTGTGTTTTCAGTACTTTTGGCTGTGCAACATAATGCTATGCTGATGCCATAGCATTTTAAAGTATGCGATTCCATGCCAAGTGATAAGGCACCGAAAGCTACTGCCTATAGGGAAAGCTAAGTGAAGGAGGGCAAGCGAGCTCATCTTTGATTTCCAGGAAAGCTTGGTTTCTGACGCTCAGGAACTCCGTGCTGCTGTAAGAGATGAGCATGGCTGGCGGAGGCGGCGGCGGCTCCCTTCTGCCGCGTGCCTTTCGATCACGATGAAGGCACAGCGAGAGCACGGTGATGCATCCCAGCTCGACCAGAAACACGACCGCCACGATCGCCGCGTTGAGTCGCCACGGGCCACCGGCAGGCGCGGTGAACTCGGCCGTGGTGGCGGCGGCGGCGGCGGCGGCGGCGGCGGCGGCGTCCGCGTCACCAAACGACCGCTCGGTCTCCCAGCAGCGGCCGCGGCCCGGCCCGCCGATGGCCGCCACGCACACCTGGTAGCGCCCGTTCGGACGCAGGCCCCGCAGCACGTGGTTGCGCCAGGTGGCGTGCACGAGCAGCGGCGAGCCGGCGTTGCGCGCCGGCTCGCCGTCCATGGCACGGTAGGCGACCGCGAACGCCCGCACGCCGGAGCGAGGGGAGCACCACCGCACCGCCACGTCCGACTCGCCCACGGGCACGACGGCGAGCAGCCGAGGGGCCGACGGACCCGCCGGCGACGCGTCGCATGGACAGCCGCCACGCCGCCCCGGTGTACGGCAGGGCGGCTGAGGGTGGTGGCAGGGATCCACGTCGCACGGCTCTGCCTGCCGGTACTGGGCGACGCCCGACTCGTTGCCCACACCGGCGACGTTTTCTTCCATTTCCAAATCGAAGGTCTCGTAGGAGAAACTGGGAGGCCCGAACAGAAGATGAGGGTCGATGGCTTGCGGCGGGCGCGCCTGGGACGCAGTGGCATGTTTCGGTGTCGGTGTTTGAAAAATGGCAGGATGCGCCGTGGACGCGTCCTCGGGGGAGTTTGTTGGGTATTCTTTAGAAGTAAAGAGACTAAGTGGTGGGGTCGTGTTATCCGAAGTTATCGATTTATCCGCAGTTGTGGTGTCGCTGTCAGCAGACAGAGTAGTGAGGATGATGGGTGCTGGGCTTGAGAGGTAATGGACATCGTAAGGTTGAGACGTGGGTGGCTGACGTGTCCTTCCTTGTGCATTACCGTGGGATGTGTAGGGTTGCGTTGTGTGCCCATTATGTACGTTTTTCCTGCGTGCTGTGGGTTCTGGTGTGAATGTTGCGGGTGCGCGTGCGGTGGTTGTGTCCGTGCCCGGCTGGAGTGTGTGCGCTGTCGGGGATTCTGGCGTATGTTCACCGGGTAGGTGTGTGTGCGGTTGAGTGGCGTTTGGGTTTCGTGTGTGAGTTGGTGTTGGTTGAGAATTCAGGCTTGGCCTGTCCGTGTTTTGTTGCTCTGTACCTGATTGAGCTGTTTCAAATTCAAAGGTGCCAGGAATGTGTGCGGTGGCTGGGTTTTCTGTGCCCATAGGAGGTAGTGACGTGGGAGCTTGCTGCGTGTGGGGTAGTCGTGGACGTGTCAGGTTTGAGAGCAAATTCTCCCGGGAGGGGGCACCGCTGGGAGTGCCGCTCTTATTTCCTCTCTCGCACAGAGTCACCACAATCTGTTCGGCTGAAGGAGAGGTTGTCTTTGAATTACGGGTCACACAGTGGATCTCTTGTGGCCTGTAAAACATATGTTCATAGAATTGTATTATTACTCGGTTTCAATCGTTTTCTGTATAGATTTACACTTGGTTTTTTTCGTCAGAACATTTCATCTTGTGACACTGGAGAAAGAAACAAATTTTAGCCATACCACTGAACCACATGCATATATTGAACATGGTTTCTAAAGTAAAAGAGATGTTATTTTTTTCCCCGAGGCTAATGTTTAAGAGTAGCACTTTCACACATACTCCACCAAAAATGCATGCAAAGCATTATGGGTGTCTCTCAAAACGCCGTGTTATCTAAAGCTGCACGCAGTGACTGACAGTGGTGGAAATAGGCCAAAATGCCCCGGAACGCCGTGGTGGGAGTGACATTTTAAACCCGACTGCATTCCGGTTGTATTGATTTGACTCACAGATAGACCCCTAGACCAACAGAGAGACCCACAGACACGCATAGAGACCCACGGACACACAGAGACCCACATATACTCTCAGAGACCCACAGGCACGCACAGAGACCCACACACAGGCACAGAGACCCACACACAGAGCTAAGCTCCTGCTCATGCCCCTCCTCCTCACATCTAGTCGCGAGTGGGGGGGGGAATCATTGATGAGCTCCCCCCAGTAATTTCTTCCCATTTCCAGCCCAGGTGACTGATAAGAACATTTGCTTGAGCAGTGAGCAAATCTGACAATTCTGAGAGCATTCCCTCACCTGCTGGAGTTGTTTTCTTGGCCTCCCGGAATCTGAGCATCACTCAGTGTTAAGCAGAAAATGAAGACGGAATGCAGAAGATGTAGCACGCTGCGCTCCATGGTCTTGTTCTGGGCTGTTTTTCTTTTCTGTGAGAGCATCGCGGAACGTCCATCACATCGGCTGCACTCACTTTTAGAAGAGGAAGAAAAGACCGGTATGGCTAATGAATAGGAGGGGGGGTGGGCGCAACAGCTTTCCACTGGTTTAGTGCACCACGTTGCGAGCCATGGGGCGATAATTTCGTTTCAATACACTGCAAACAAGAGCGGCGATATCTGAACCGGTCCTGGCCACTGCTCTGTGGCCCTGATCTCCACCATCCTGCACTGCAGCCATGAGTATAAACACTGAACGGCAAATTGCACTTGCCTGGCAGCTTCGGCAGCAGCTTGTTAACCCGTTGGATGCAGGGTTTAAAAATCAATTCAAGCGTGAACTGTTTTTGTCTAATTTCTACTGCGTTATACTCATGTTTTTGGCTTCGTGAAAAATGTTTTAATTTTCATGAAATTATGAGAACTCGCACTTTTTAAAACTTTTAAGTTCATAAACAGTACTGTAATTTATTTAAAAAGGCACAATTTTATTCATGTACCGTGAGCATAACACTTACTTTTAATCAATCAAACCATTTGAGTTCCCCGCCTGGAACTTAGCACGCGGTTCAGATTGTCGGCCATGTTGTCATCTTCACCGACTCCGAAACAGTGGCGAGACTGGGAGTGTTGCGCTGTGTAGAAGGGGCCATTGCCCGAAACGTCGCCTGTCATATACGTTTTGATTTTTTTTAAGGCCACAGTGTTGTTGACGAACGTGTTGAGGTTTTATTATAATTTGTGATTGTGCATCACGGCCAACGCAGAAGCAGCATCAATCGCCAAATAACGCGTTTAACGTAGTGTTGGGGAGTTTATGGTACGGCAATAAATACATAATTATTGAGTAGACGTACAGAACGTTTCTTTCAAAAGTTAAGGGAGCAACAATTTACACCAATAACTGTTACCTAAACATGCCGCTTAACACATGTATAAACTTTAGATCCAAGTATACAAATGCACAGACTAAAGCCTTAATCGATTTTTTGGGGCAAGTGCTGTTAGCGAGTAGCACCTATGAAGGCCGGGACGGCACACGAGTGGGTGGGTGGCCAGCACCACGCCCGGCCGCCTTTGTCTCCCCAGTGGGGATGTTTACACATCTCAGCAGGTACTCGACCTAGGGGGAGGCCCAGGACCGGTTCAAATAATATTCACCGGTGTTGGCCGTGAACTCGGGTCGCCGGGTTTAACCGCTACACAAACACAAAACTCTTACGTACAATGCCTACAGTTTAATCAAACGTAGGATACACACATACGAGTTTACGTGGTTTGTCCGCACAAACAGCATCAACAAAACAAAGCGACTACTGCAGCTGTATCTTGCGTGCATTACTGTATAAGCACAGTGTTTCTGACAAAGGTGGTCAAAAACAACCGCTGTTCAAACAAGGATTTAAATGTACTATTAATAACAATTTTTAAAACGTATCACATTCCTTGGGAACACAGCCGTATTTGGTACAGCCTTCGTTAAATCAATATAATCATACGCGAGCAGATGTGAATGATGATGCATTGACGGCACTTTGGGGTTGTCCGCAATATTGTAGATAATCCAGCGGGTTTTTTTGTTTTCCCATAACCACAGCCCCACTTCTGTCTGCGGATAATCCAATTTGAAATACAAATGACTCCTGCGGTGGGAAGCTCTTGTCGTGGTGAAGATCAGCGCGCCGGACTGCAATGCAGGTCGCCAGTTCCGTTATCCCCGCCACGGCAGTCAAATCAATGGTGCGCGTTTATTATAAACCCACCGCATCTGGCCACCTCTTTCAAAGCCACTGCCCAACGTGGAAGAGAAGGCCAAAGTACTCTAACGAGTTCTCTCCAGAGAGAGAGAGAGAACTCATGAGAGTGGAGGCGCTCCCGCAGGGCTGTACCTCTGCTGCCTGTACTTCTGTGTAACATGAAATGTGTCTGCTAATACCTGTGGGTTAATCAGCTCAACCTCCGATTAGCAAGGTTGGCTACGTACGGTGTGAAAGAAAAACTCAACTAAACATTTGTTTTACCAGGTAAAGCCAACTGAGGTATATTGCTCTTTTTCAGAAGCGACCTGGCCACAAATGATACTCAACGAAGTGGCTCATCATGTGTAAATTTAAAGCAGCCAAATACTCTAAAAGCATATTTATAAATGTGGAGATGTGGAGGGGAAAACCAGAGGACCCGGAGAAAAATCCACGCGACCACGGGGAGAGAGATACGCAAACTCCAAATAAAAAAGCGTCAGTGTCGGGATGGAACTCACATCCTCCTGCATACGAGGTGAGGTAGTTAAATGTCTGAAGTTTAACATAAGTACACTAAGGTTGCCACCTTGTCCACAGTAAACCTGGACACATCTCAGCCCAGGTCGATTATCAAAACTGCAATCTACTGGAATAAGGGTTCAATGCAATAATAGTACCAGATATCAGTACAAATCATATCCTGCCACCCATTTCCCAGTGGCAAGGCTGTCCTCCACACCTCACGGAATTCTATGGGTTTTTTAAAAGTGTAAATATGCGACTCACACCATAGAACTCGTCCCTGAAAAGAGATGTTTTAATCTATTTTATTGACCCATTGTATTGATATTAGGAAACGCACACTTCTGCAAACACTTTGTAAATACATTAAGGAGGCAGAATATGTGATGTTCTGTACTTTATAAAACAACTATTTTTCTGCGTAAAATAACCACTATCTTCGTGACTTGTGGCTCGTACGCGGTTATAATCTACACGTACTGTAATCTACGAGAGGAAGAAAACAACACAATCGATTCTTTCCAAGAGCAGAGATGTCTCCCGATGAAAAAAAAGTGTACAGTAACTCACCAGTCTCTGCGTCACAACAGCGACTGCAACAGCGTGGAAACAAATCTGAGTCGATGGCGGCGACGGGTCTATTTACCATAGAGGAAATAGACAACGGGTATTTAACACCACAATTCCCCCGTGCAGTTTCGCCTTGTGGGCACCGTAAGTGTACTTACATCTACCCCCCCCCCCCCCCTCTGCGGGGTGTGTGTGTTGAACCCTGTTGAGTGCCTCTTACAATCACTCACCCCTGGTATGCGCGGTGTGTGGAGGACACCGAGCGGGTGATCGCGTGCGTTGGGGGGGGTGGAGACATCACCATGGAGCGTCTCTCTCTCTCTCTCCCCTCTGTGCATGTCTCCCACACAGATTCTTGGGAACATTGACATCGGCCGTGGACCGGGGAGCTTGCGAGAAGCGGTGAGGTGGCCTCGGGCGATAGCGCGTTCGCCTGCAGGGTTGCGGTCGGGGTGGGTGGGGGGGGTGGAGTGTTCGCGGTTCGATTCCGCCAGACCGCCCTGGTTATTACTGCGGTGTTGTACCGAAATACTACGCGTCCGTTCGCTTCACAGTGGACGTTCGACATCCCCTGACGTCGTTTGACAGGAGTAAGCCATTGTGTGGCGGCAGCGACGGCACGCTCACAATTGATCAAAGTACAAAATATTACCGTAAAATTACTCAATTTTGGATTTCGCGTTGCAACATCGCCCCCCCCCTCCACTGTGCAACTGCGGCAGACCGTGTGTGAGAAACTAACAACGTTGCGAGCGTGCCTTGTGCTATAAGAATGGCGCGAATACCAAATGTCCTAACATATTACTGCTACGGCTGTTATTATGATTCACCAGGGTGAGAATTATGTGAATCTTCCGCGAAATGCGGCGTCATATTTTTTAAACTTTTGTAGGGCTGGGGGGGTTAAAAGCGTGCTTGTGAAATTAATCATCGGATAGTCTTTGTCCTGAGCTACATTAGCAGGAAAAAAATGTCATAAATTAATCGTGTGTTACTTTAGACTAAATTCTGTTTAATTTCTGCAGCAGTACCACGTTGCCATTAATCGTTATACACTGCAGCATAAATGTAAAACAGCGTGTAAAAAAGGTAGAAACGTAAGCAACATGATGCGGAGCCTTTCCCCCTACGTTCGGGGACACTCCACACTTCACCGACTAACCCCACGAAGCGTACGTTTGACACGCGTACGTGCGCGTCACCTACCTACGCGTCAGGTGCTACCGGAGCCTGGCCATCCATGAGTGAGGATGACGCCTTGACGTCCTCACCTCTGAAAACTAAGAATCGGCTTCACACTTCCTGGCAGTAACACAACAGGTGTTAAGATGTTCAAACGCCAATTGCCCAGTTCATTTGTAACGCAACGTTTCTCCACCAGATCCGTGGGGGGAGGGGGGCGGGGGGGGGCAATATGCGTACGACGCACCCTGAATTGACAACAAACGGACTTTGTCAACGAATGCTGATTTTTCCACATTGCCAATTACAGCTCCATTCAGAATATCAATTTTCGCTTTCACCGATTTCACACATCATCACAGACTTGCCCCCATTGCTTCTTCTCTTTCATCTCACCTCCATCATCACATTCACATGTACTATTGTTAGTTCTGTGTAAAGCGCCTCGGTTAAGGCGCCGTACAAATTATTTTAAGACAAGGTAACATCCATTTTCCTCGTGAGTTTTCCTCTCGTGAAATTGTATCGTGCTTATAGGGACGAGCGCACATGAACATCTACCGCATGTTCGCTACGATATGCACCGACACAACGTTGGAATGGGGTTGAGCGGTAGCGCGTGGCTTCTCGCGTGGTGACCCCGGTGACCCCGGTTAGATTCCCGCACACAGCCAGCGCACCATCGGGGAGTGATATCTGAATGCCGACGTGTGGCCAAGCAACCATAATGACCGCAAAGCACTTTCACTCAGCTAGTGCGCGGACCATAAAAGGGTTATACAATTCTAATGTACGCTCCTCTTTGTAGTTATACCTTGTACCATTAAGAGAGAGAGAGGGGGGGTGGGGGAACACGTATCTGTGCTTTCACATTCCTATTTCGTATCCACTGCTGTGGAATTTCAGCCCTGTTTAAGATAACCTGTCAAGGCGGTGCCCCCCACCACTACCCCCCCCCCTCCCACCACCTCCTTTACCGAGCTGGTAGGAGAGAGAAAACACACACAGGAAAGCAAATAAACTTCAGCCAAATGTGATTAATTCTGTGTAATAAAAAAAATCAACAATACCAGCAAGCGAGGGGCGCATCCTCGTGCATATTTTCCCAACCCCGCTTATTAAATCAACAAATGCTGCAGCGTGCTTTGTAATATACCACATCCCAAGCACTGCACTTGATTTTCGGAACGTTTCCCGTACAATTGTTACCTTTAAGAAGCACATGCAGACCAGTTGTTGGATTAAGTAATCCATGGATAATTTTAAATATTTACATACATACGTATTCTGGCTATAACACATGTACAAACTACCATAGCATGAATAACCGTACATTTAAGCTGTTCGCCGTGCTGTTATTTGTATTAATTAGTATATGGAAGTCCAAGTAAGCTGCTATAGTTTGCGATGCACGTATCAGAATAAGAATATGCATTTATACTGTAGGAATCCGATGAGCTTTAAAGCTCTTTTGTTCACGGATGTCCAGTTGACATGCAGCAATAGACCTACATACTGACGCACATTCACACGCGACCTCCCTCCACCCAATCCTACTCCCTCGCAAAAAAAGACAAAGGTCCCCCGTATAGCCTGAACATACTGTCGGGGCAAGTGCTGTTAGCGAGCACCTATGAAGGCCGGCACGGCACACGAGGGGGTGGGTGGCCAACACCACGCCCGGCCGCCTTTGTCTCTCCAGTGGCGATGTTTACTACAGACCGTACCAGGTACTCATTTGAGGCTGTGTCGACCTAGGGAAGGCCTAGGACCGGTTCAGATTATCGTCCCTGGTGTTGGCCATGAGCGAGAAATGAACTCTGCATCACCGGGCTTGGAGCACACCGCTCTACTCCCTCGCACGCACACACGGACACACACTGTGAATTGTCAATGTGTGACAAGTGCATTTTCTTACTCATCCCAGTATGTGTTGCGCTGGCGGACCAACGTGCCACGGGGCAGTCCTCTTACCCTCCTTGTATGGGCAGCGCTCGGAGGGCGGACCCTCACTGCACCGGGGCACGACAGATGGCGTGCCCTGGCGTGCAGCTCATCATTTTAAAGCAGCTCAAGAGCCTCAAAATAAAGCAGGTGAGAGAGCCAATTGAAGCTTACGGATTTCACAGATGAAGCTAGGACTCACGTGGGTTTAGAAAAGAACCTCACCACCTTCGTCAATATCAGTTGATATTTACTTTAGAAGGCTCGTGTTTTTTGAGCACTAGTGCTTCTTTAGAACCGTGAAGGAGGCAGCCGAATTTCGTTTGATGGAAATCAATTTGGTGTACAAAGCCTTAATACGTTTGCTGTGGATATTTTCAAAGGCGCTTGCCGTCTGGAACAGGTATAATGGGCAATTCTCCATCTTGGCGGGCTGCCAGAAAACAGCACGCCTGACCTAGAAAAGGATTGGACACCCATGGTGCTTGTACGTGTCGCTGGGGTCACGTGGGTCACCCTGCCACTGCAAGAAAAAATCGGATGGAGGGGTACAGAGAATACAGGTGGCCTAGTGCCTCGGCAATGTGCTTTGTCTGGCTATGTGTAGCCAGAATACATCTCAGGTGAACCGTTTTATCAATTCATTGGTTATACAATGCATTGTGGACGCTGCCTGGACAACTGCTCGTCTTTTCGGCCACGGTCATGCCCTCTCGCCTCTATGCTTGTGAAACATTGACCTCAATTGGCATAAAACATTGATTTGTGTGAGGAATGCCCATAAACCTGTACTCGAAAGATCTAAACAAAGGCCAATTTGTGAGCTTTTCACACAAGTGAGACTGCATTGACTGGGTAATGTAACCTGCATGTCCAGCTTGCTTTGGCCAGAAAGAGAGCACTTAACGGGCGCAGCACGTGGTACAGTATTGAAGAAGCTATCTGATGTGATTCAGGAGGTCAATGAGATGCATGGATTTGTTGACATTTGGTGGCAGTGTTGTCAGGTTCAGACTCCATGGAGGAGACTCTTGAATGATGCCAATGGATGGACAGCTGACAGTAGCCACCCTCCAACAACAAAAAGAGAAAATGCCAGTTTTCACGATGACCTCCAGCCAACAACCTTGCGTTACTTTTCATGACCACGAAGTGCACCCAGCCAAAGTGTCACCGACACGTAATGGCAAATGTGTGATGTTATCAAATATATTAATTCAGAGATATCATTCTGCCCTATCTTCAGCTAAAATCATGATCAAGTTCTCAAATCGTACTGTTCCAATCTCCGCTTCCCGGAATACTTTATTCCGATTGTTGCAAGTTATTTTCATACACGTGCACCTACTTAGCGTACAATTCAAATTGATTGCCGATTCATGTTTTTCCGTGCCAATTCACGACGCGGCATTGCATCCGTTGTATTTCATACATATATGTGTTTGGAGACAACAACATCAACAACAGCCGCCATTCGACACTAAGTGGCGGTGACGTCGCAACGGCGCTTGTGCCAGGCCATATGCATTTCGAGACAGGACACATTGAGCCAGGGCAACATCAATTGTATGAAATGCTGCGTTAAGCCATAATGGGAGGATATGCAGAGGTTTGCAAATCGAGCGTAGTAGCCTCCTTATTAATACTGAATATACGCACTACCTGCTTCCCAATGACCGTCAAAGATCCTGTGACATTTGAAACACAGTAGGTCGTGAGCACTGGCGTCACAGACCAAATTTGCCAACTTTGAAAATATCACCCAAAATTATTCCCAATTGGGTAAAGTTACAGAGTAGCATTGCCCCTTACTCTGAAACTGCTGCACATCCGCCAAGAATGACGTGAAATTCAAATGTGTTAGTTATTTCATTTGATTAATGGCCCCTCTGGGCTCAGGAATGGAATCACCCCTTTAGGGTCATTCCAGAAATGGAATGAAATTACTCCTTTGGGGTCATTCCATTTCTTTCTTGAAGGGAAAAAATAATTAACTTAAAAGGCAAAACGCTCTGCCTAACTTCCTGTACTCCTTGTTGGTCTACTACAGCATAAATATTAAATCATGACGACCTTTACGATAGCATCATTAACAATGACAAACATAATTGGTTATTCACGTCCTCCTGGGTGACATCTAATACTTTACCTTGTAAAGTCCATGTTGTCCATATTATTTTATTTTCTGACACTACACTCATACCAGCTGATTTGGTGCATCATCAGTTTGATGACCCTGCTGGTTTGGCTGAATCTAGCTTGTTTTTTTAGCACCTGAAGGTCATGTTTGTTTTCACTACGGTTACCGACCACCTTGGGGACGCAGCGATGAGATCACCTCATGCGTAGGAGCGAGGTGGATTGTGATATCACAGGACCATGAGGGATGGTGATGGTGTGGAGATGCCCTTGTCCAGCTGTGGATGGAACATGGCTGAAGATGATCATGATGATGGAGACCGAATAAAACATCGAGCATACTCTAACAAAGCCTTGGAGAGACTTATATTTCCTACGTTGAACTCATTTTATTATAAAGTCCTCCAGCTTCAAAAAAAGTGAAACACATCTTACCTGAATATACAATATTGGCGTATCTAATTATCCACATGTATCTGCAAAAAATAATTCCTCTTTGTGTGATTATCCTCCAATGAGTGCAAACAGGATGAATTTTCTGCCAATTCCCAGTCACCTCTCATACACCCAAAACACGTGAATAATCGAAGTCACATATACTATAGATAAGAAGAGTGTCACAAATAGCCATTTATTTATCCAGGAACGACTCACTGTGTCATTTGAATGTTTGGCCAACTCCTTCGTAGGTGTTTTTGCCCGTGACTCTGTCGAAAAATGACACGCGGGAGAGAGATGCAATGGAGTCTCTGTGATCCCTCGACCCTCGATAATGTCCTGGCTTGCAGGTGTTTGCCACCATGCCTGGATGTGCCACCGCCCTTCCTTTTGTTATAGGCCTCGTATTCAGTAAACATGACGGCTCTTTTTGATGCCCTTGCGTCGTGTTACGCAATCTTACAGTTTGAAATGCTGAAATGCTTCTTCCTCAATCTCTGACTTCTCCCAACAATCCCGTCTATGTCTGTCTCAAGCTGAACTGCACAACACTGGACGCGTGACCACGATTTAAGGGATCCCGTTTTGACAGCTATGTGCACCAATGGCCATTTTCAATATACTGTATATTTGCTTTCTTCAACGCCATCTGGTTCTGTGACAATGAAAACAACACACGGCACCTTTCAACGAAATACCGATGCGTTCTTGTGCCGAGTTTGCGTGGGGGTTTGGGGCACGGGTGGGGGGCAACGCCACTCCCAAACTGGACATGTTTATATAATTTATTTTCAGTCGTTTCAAATTCAGATTAAAAATAAATTAATTATATGCACCCGCGATTCCTAATGTGAGTGACAAAGCGACCACCCCCCCATATATAGAAGTCAAACTCCGCCTGTGGATGCGTTCATTTTGAGGGCTTCCTCTGCCACACGAATCTGTCAGCTCCTTCTGCCTCCTCAGCTTGGATAGGGGGGATGCGCACAAATATATCTCTCACTCTCAAGTTTCCACTCACCAAGCGCACTCTAACACACATCTTCAATCCATCAATACAGAATGAGTAGCCAGTAGCTGATAGGTGTCTGTGCGCCAATGGCTTACCACTCTCCGTAACTGTGCGCTGCTATTGCTCATTACAGCCCTTGCAATTATTTGCAAACCACTAAAATGGCTTCATAGTTTAAGTGCTAACCACCTAAGCCAGTTTGCATGGATTTTATGGTTCAATTCCTGCTGATATATCGTTATTTCCACAGGGAATAAACAAAGCGCTGTAAAGTGAACATTAAAAACTGTATGCCATGTCGTGGATGTTAAAGACCTATCTGCATTATTCATAAGAGCAAGTGTTTTGGTGTTAAAATCTTAAAATCACCTCCATTTAAATTGAAGAAAAAAATCCCCGTTCGAATAAATACAAACATCCAGTTGCGAAAAATATACATATATGCAACCCCTTAACGTAGCTTGGTTATCCAAAAAGAAGACGAACGCAATGAGCGGTGAGCAATTGTGTGAGCAGAACGCCCGTAGATGAGGCGTACGAGATCTTGACAATGAAATCCCAGAAGGCACTGTAAAGGACTCCGGCATACGCCACTGGTTCCAAGCGCTTCCCGTGCACGTGCGCGAATCTCTCTCTGGGCTGGCCGAGATGCCGCCTCGTCTTGTCCATTCCTCCATTGAAAGGTAGGCCGGGCACGCTTCAGGCTTTTTTCATCCCTTTTTTCACCTTTGCGTTGTTATCGTGCGACAGGAGCTGAAGAGCCGCGATGCATTCACCGTCAGCCGAGCGAGCGAGCGGCGCATAGAGGCGTGCGAGAGCTGGGGGCGGGGAGGGGGGTGGTGGAGGGGATGGTGGGAGAGTGCGTGGGGAGCCCAATCATCCAAGCTCTCTCCTCCCCCCCCCCCAACATCATCTATTTATCTGCACGGCTGGCTGGTGGGCTGCGATTTCGCACTCTTTCGGCTGCACCAGCGTTCGGAGGCTGCAGGCGCCCTTCACACGATGTCTGTCTCGAGCCCGCGCGTGCGTCTTGCACGCGCGGCTTGACGAGCGGGATTCTCCGGCGCTGGAGAGGAGCGGATGGGGATTAAGCGAGGCTCGTCGCTATCGGTGTCAAAACCTCCCCGTACACATGGACAGAGGAGGAGGATGCAATTAAAATGGCCGTGCGCATGATGTCTGGATATCTGCCTAAACTGCAATTTAAAATCGCTCTTCAGAGATTTCCATTACTGTCATATCTAACATATGATCTCATGATGAGCATCACTTTGGGTTGTGCGCCTTCCGGCCTCGGACAGCTGCCGTTGCCCCTGGAAATAATGCGAAGGTAGGTAGGCTCCGACACTGTGTGGAATGTGATTGCATATTGGTAAAGTATGGTGAAGGTGCTCGTTTCGTGAATGACCCTTCGTAGCGTGTGCATGATGACTGACCTCCATAGGTTATTTTTGTACAAGTTGCACATCGCTACGACCGTTTTTCGCGAATAAAACCCTGTACCTAATTGTGATAAAAGAGTGAGCATAGATTGATTTTTTCCTGCATAAGGCTGTTTTGTTTTATATGTGAAAACATAGGTTTCCGTTGTTGTTATTGCACTGCATTCGTCCACTGGTAAATTTTAAAACGTGTAAATCGATATTTTGCTCCATCCAATAGATATATTGATATACAGTATATCCTGTATTGATTCTACATGTGCACAGCACAATTGTTGGAGCTGGCCAGAAACCGTGTGGGTGTTATGCGGTTCTTTATTTTTACACTTTAGGTAGCCACTGTGTTACTCCTGGTAAAAAGCAATTCTCTCCACAAGCATCGAGCTATTATTTCATGACGTTATAATGCTACGATACTGCAAAATAGCATCCTTCTGTTTTTGTCTTTGCGTTCAGTCTGCACTTTGGGCTGCATTTACTCAGCCTGCATTTAAAAAAAAAATACTCAATCCACCGGTCTCTTTTTTCTTCATTTCAGGACTTACAGAAAAGTAATTTGAGTGTCTCTGAAATAATTTGGTGAGATTTGGTGAGAAAAGGTTGTTGCTCACGCTGCTGCAAATGGAATCCTCGGAGCAAATTCCTCTTAGAACGACAGGAGCCTATCCTCATAGCTGGTGCCAATCATCCTCCGGGCCAACCGCCAACCAGCAGAGTCGAGGCTCCATTTCAGTACCGTGGACAGCTCCGAAAGGGCACCCTGCCACAGCAACGGCAGCGTCAGTTGCAACGACGGCTCGGCTTCTCTTGACCGGATCTTCAGGCGTGCAACCGAGCGGTCAGGGGGAGACATCCTTCACGGCGCAAAATTGCGGCACAAACGAGGTGAACAACACGGCGAGGCGGCACTCGCAAAACTACGTGGACGTGGAATTGGTGGCCATCAGCCCCGTGTCGGTGTCGAGGCGCACTGTGCAGCCGAGGGCTGTCGACATGACCCCAACGCCTGGCAGTGAATCGTACCCGGCCGATGACAACGGTGAACCTGTGGATTACGGCTTCATCATCTCCCTCATTTTCCTCTTCGCTGGGATTGTCCTTGTGGTCATCGCATACCTGGTGCCGAGAGAGGCGAGGGTTGATCCAGACTCCGTGTCGGCCAGGGAGATGGAGAAAATCGAAAATTATTACGCGCGGCTTGGGACCAATTTAGATAAGTGCATCGTGGCTGGTCTTTGTTTCCTGACCCTCGGCGGAATGATCCTATCCTGTCTTTTATTAGTGTCCATCTGTAAGGGCGAAATATACCGCAGGCACAGAATGGGTGGCTATCGAACGAACAGGACTTATGGCTCCGTAAACCTGCGACTAGAGACGCCCGACACTGATCTGCACATGAGCTCTCTGGTTGAGGCTGAACGCGATCCTCGGGATTCGGATGCAGAGCACGAAGTGTAAAAATATCAGCGTGCTACAACCGACTGCTGACTGCATTCCCTGCTGCTAATGTGCATCGTTCTGCCAGCTGTCAGACATGTTTCAGTATACCACTTGATATGCTCCCGACTTTTTTTTTACATTTGATAAAAACGCATTTAATTATTGTATACGGTAGACACTCAATTATCTGCACTTAATTTGATGAGCCTGCAGATCACCGATTTTTGCTTTCAATCAGAGATAATTAAAACGAGATTGTCCGCAGGATGGATTAGTGGAAGGAGGCTGTTTGCGTGAAGCAGGAGGGAGGTGAGCAGGGCGGGGGACAATAAATGAATTAATACACTGAATGTACGAGGAGAGAAGTTGATGTTCCACACAATCGTGAGTTCTACACTCCTCGTACGACAATTTACTTTGGACCGTAGAATGATCCCATATGCGGTTGAGTAAAGTGCGGTTATTTGAAAGTGTGTTGTATGCTAAATACCAGTGTTGAACTATATCTCGTTGCATGTTTTAGAAAATGGAGACCTGAGAATTCGACGTAAATTTTAGTTAATTAATACTCTGAAATCGCAGTGAACCCCACCGTGTTCAAGATCAATGACTGCATTTAAATATTTGTATTCCTTGGTTTGAGGTTGTATTTCAAGAGCCGTATTTTATGGAAATTCACATTGTCGTGTTGGAATGATTGAATAAATTAAATGTAGGCTATATATTCCTATAAAATAATGAACCCGTATAATTTATGTTCTTTTAAACTATGCAGGAAATGTGTATAGCTGAATGTAGTGCTCAACATTTACTTTTAATGGAACGTGAAGTCGCCTTACATTTTCACATATGCTGCTTTGTGTTTTATTTAAATATACATCCATGCATATATACGAGGCCTGTACATACACGCACGTTTCACCGTACTGAAAACACATGTAAACATCAAATGTAAACCCTCACTTACCAACTGTACGCTTACATATACAGTATACACAGTGTACACGAAACGAGCCTTTTTATTCCAGGAGTATAGATAAGGGCGTTATAATTTATTTCAAATGCCTTACATTCAACGAATTAGGCGTTGATTAAAAATATGTATTGACTTTTAAATTTTGCGTGCTACTTTGAAACCACAGTATGAAAGTTAATATTCAGCACAAAAGCATATGTGAGAATACAAATGAAATAAAGTTGCTTTATTGCTCTTTCTACCTCTTTCATATTTTAAAAGTGTTTATGTTACAAAGTCAATTCATTTCCAATATGTTTCGTATAATGTGGTAATATACAATTTAAGTTAATTATATTGGCACCTACAAAGGAATGTGGTGTTAGAACATTTGCAAATGATTAATTCCTTGCAAACAATCGTCGTTCATATCTTGAAAGATGCGGTGAATCTATGTGAATACTTTTTAAAATAAATTGAAATGTTCTTGTCCGTCGGCTGCTAAAACTGCGGTAGGCTACTAAAATGATTTTATTTGGGTAAAATGCGATCATGTGTTGTGGGGTTAAAGAATATATAGATAGTAATAAGGCTAAAGTACTGTCCTCTTCGCCTACACAGGAATTTTGTGAAAACCCGAGTGTGAATTGTGACTATTTCTGCTGACGCCCACGTACAGGGGTCAAAAGATGTAAACTGTATTGATATACTGTAAATATTGACACTCTGTAGTAAAATATAAGCTACCTCTACGCGAGTTGTTTTATTTCAACACAGTGAACAGAGGAGGCAATGAAGGAGCAAGGCATGGATATTTCAGAGGGGCCATCCATCAACTCGTCACCTCACAGAAACCTGGGAAATACGCACTGCTCCCTCTGGTGGCAATCTCACGTAACGTTCACGGACTAATCGGAAAAAATACTATAATTTTCCATAATTACTGTAACAGCAATAAATCCCCCTTCTTTGGAGTACTTATAACAGATGCACATTATTATTATCATCATCATCAATGGCATGATGTAAATGGTGGCCTGGTCATGTAAGTGTGATGGATTTTTGGATATGCCCTCCGTGCGATGTGAATGCGTTTGTCAGTGATCGTATTTCGGGCATATAACACACAGTTTAGACTTCGTTGATTGCAATATTATCTTGGGGTTTTTTTGTGGGGGGGGGGGGGGGGGAATTAAATCGCCAAATTATGTGGTTGCTTAGAATGGTCCCTGCCTTAAATGCAGATGTGATGTGTGTGCGAACCGTACAGCCTATTTTCCTAGATTCTTCCCCCAGCCTGGGCGCCACCTGTTCGGTCGATTGCGCAGCCGCCACCCGTCTCACGCCGGGCATGCCGTGGTTGTTAAGCTAGGCCTCTGAAGGCACCACACAACTTGTTCTAAGCAGAGATCCTTCAGAAGCAAAATTAAAAAAATAGACAAATATTAAAATAAATTCACACAATTTAATTATGTGTACACGTAAAACAAACAAAAGCTGATCATTATGGCATGTATGGCATGTTTGACCGAATAAAACCAAAGAGTGATAAAAGCAAGTGTTAAGATTTTGATTTGAAGCTTTCGTGACTGCAGGGATTCATATTCTTGGTTCTTTCGGTAAAGTCACGTAGAAGGGAAATAATAAAATAATAAAAATATATGTATATAAAACAATACAATTCTCACGACGTTTCGACTGCAACACAAGCAATCATCATCAGGTGTGAAAACCACAGCAAGAAAAAATTGAAAAAAGTGCTTTTCACACCTGATGATGATTGCTTGTGTTGCAGTCGAAACGTGAGAATTTTATTGTTTTATATTTTTATTATTTTATTGTTTCCCTTCTACGTGACTTTACCGAAAGAACCAAGAATATGATTATTTTATTGTTTTATATTTTTATTATTTTATTGTTTCCCTTCTACGTGACTTTACCGAAAGAACCAAGAATATAGGTGTTAAGATGTTCAAACACCAAATAGAAACCCTAATCAAAATACAAACCTATTCTTATGTTTTCATACTTTGATACTTGAAAAAAGGTCACATTTTGTAGCATGTATGTTTACATTTGGAGTGCTGTACAATATAAATTTGTCCTTATATTCTACCCATGCCATTTGATCAACATTTTATTAACTTGAATTCATCAATATGATATATTTAGTGTCGTAAATAGCGTGACATTTGAATAATCGCACATTTACTCTACTTATCGGACATTTATTCCGGGATGTTCTGAGGTGTTTTGTCATCCTTACCAAATGCTATTATTTCCTAGATTACCTCAACCCAACTTGTAATAAAATAAAACATTGGTAAGATTTAAACGTCCTCTAAGTGAAATACAGCAGAGCTTCAACAATTCGCGCTCCAATCCGCCAATTCATATGCGCGGATTACCCGCGGTTTGTGACACCTCCCATAACCCGCGGGGATCGTTGAGCCTAAAACGCGGATTTTAGGGAGCAGCTAAATTGTCCACTTAACAAGTGTCGTATTGTCGTGTGGAAATGTGTCGCGGCAAAATACTCTGAACGCGTGTTTCTAAATGGGAGAAAAAAAATCCACACGACCACGGGGAGAGAGACACGAAAACTTCAAATATACAGCAGGGTCGGAATCGAACCCACGACCTCCTGTATACCAGGCGAGGTAGTTAACATCTCATAGCCACCGTGATGATGATGATGAGAGAGAGAGACACGCAAACTCCACATATACAGCAGGAGTCAGGGTTGGGATCGAACCCACGACCTCCTGTATGCCAGGCGAGGTTGTTAACATCTCCTAGCCACCGTGGCACCAAACATGGTAGTCGTGGGTAATTTCAAGCCCGATGTCAATCCACTGCTGGATGAAAGGCCTCCTCATGCCGTGTCGGTCGGGGTGATTGTTGGTTGTTCAGCACCCGCTGGTCAGTGCGCATTGGTGGAGGGGATTGTAATGGGGGCAGGACCCGTTCAGATATCACTCGCCACTCATGTTAGCCATGGCCATAAATATATAATACCAGTTTGATTACATACCACGCGAACCACTGCACAGCCGCTCAATCCCAAGCGTCATTGATAACTGAGTATTGGTGATGATCCTTTTTCTAAAAAAAAAAAATATCATAATCACAGGAAGAAATTCCAGTTACCCATTTCCTCAATTTTGTCACATTTCATTTCAGTTACAGTAGCTCGTCTATGATCGTATCTCAATGTCGCATGAATAAGCCGATCTTATGAGACGAAAAGTGGAGTGTGTGAAATGGTGACAGTGTACATAACACGCACGCGCACAACTACCTATCAGTATATGCGAGGTGAGCAAATCTGTGCAACAGGAAGAGCCGCAAATTGTGGGCAGAAGTATTCATCTCAGATTCGCTGAACCTCTTTAGATTGCAAATAAGAGGTGTGCATGTTTCGTCTTTCAGTTGACCTTTCGCTTGGAAATTTTTTTTTAGGTCGATCCGTTTTCTTTATAATCCGAATGAAGATACAAACATTGTGTAAAGATAATACATCACATATTTTCGATGTCAGGTCGTATATTGTGTCTACGTGTATATATGTATGCAGTTTATTCAAATTCGAGGTTAAAACATCTTATCGATAACGACGGAGGGACGTTGCTGTGATTGACAGCATGAGTCCAGAATTGTCTCAAGCAAGTGACGGTTCAAATTTACATCTTCTTCTTTCGTACGGCTGCTGACGTAGATGCAGAGTAACAACAACAT